AGACAGAGTGAGACTTTGTCTCAAAAGAAAACAAACAAACAAACAAACAAACAAACAAACAAAGACAAGTGCAAGCAAATAAAGAGATGTCCATTGAAATTTGTATTTTTACTGGAAATTCTGAACATTCTCTGGACCTCTTAATACAATTTACAAATTTCCCTTTTTAAAGCATGTATCCTAAGTAACTTGTAAATATTTGGTTGCTCAGTTCTAAGAACAGGCAAGAAATTGCATCAACAAGGAAAATAGAAAGCTACCACAAGACTCATTTAAGCAGATCATCCTTCAAAATAAAGGTTGGAGAAAAGTATCCAAACAGCTCACTGTACTTTTTAATTGTTTTCATCATGCCACTTTCTAGTTACTGAGGGTGTAGTGTAATAGTAGGTTTGGAGGTGTGGAAATAGGTCCAGAGAGATATTGCACAGCTAAATTTTGGCCAGGTTGCATTAAAATCATCCCAATACTCAGCATATATTCATATCTTTTAGTTTTCTTTTTCATTGTATATCCAGTAAATAAGTTAAACATCTGGTTTCATGATCTACCAAAAATTAAGTCATTTATTTCTCCCATTTCTTTTTCAGTTTGAAACAGTACTTCAGTTGAAATCTTTGTGTTGTCTTCGAAACCTATAAATGATTGCCACCTCCTTGTTACATAAGAGCAGTTCTTGTTTTTGTAAACTGGCCTTAAGTTTAATTTTATAGTTTAATTTCATACCTTCCCATCCTCCCCTAAACATATACACACACACACATACACACACACACACACACACACATATGTGTATATAAACTGGCAACCTAAATTGTTAGGCAATCAACTATACTTTATGAAAAATACTATGACAAAGGACATTCGTTTTTCCTTTCATAATTTGTTTCCATAAAAATGAGATAATATCTTATGTATTTAAAGTAATATTACAAGTATTTGAATTACATGCAGTGTTATTAGTTAGGAATACGAAACAGATACAGAAACAGGATAATTCTTTTGGAATTATCTCTGCAGAAGAATTAAAATCAACTTTCAAGGATTTGGGTTATTTGATTAAAATATTAGTAATTTGTATTGAAAATATTTGCCTATGTTGTTCCCTACAGGTTTTTCCCAAACAGAAGTAATTAAATATGTATCTTAATTAAAAATAACTTTTAGTTGTTTGTTTTTTCAGAAATAAAAACAAAGTTGGAGGAGGAATCTCATGTCTTATTTTATTTGGCTGCTAGAATGAACTGCAGTTGTAGAATGCCTTTCCTATCTATTTGAATGTTATGTGTTTAAAAATGATTCTTTCATCTGCATTTTCTTCTTTCTTTATTGCAGTTACTATTTGGGAATAAAAAGAAAGGTTCGAAATAGGAGTTTACAATTTTATTCTTATGTGTGATTTCATTTTAGACATTTTAAAACTACTTTGTAAGCCTCGAAAATCATTATATTTTCCGGAAATTCTTTGCTAAATCATAATAAATTTGCAGTGTTTCTGCAGGGGCAAACTTCAGCTTAGCATGTACCTGCTGCAGAGATTAAGTACTTTATGCAAACCCTTCCACATATACTTGCTAAGTTTTCATAATGTTTGAGAAACCAGAAGTATGGAGATTACAAGCAAACATTTTAGTAGCTCTAATGCTTACTTATAGTTAGACATTTGGCTCTTAAAATATTTAGATGAAAATATAAATTGCATGGCCAGCAGAATGCATTATTTTAAAAGCGTGTACTGTTTAGCTACTTTGTCTTTAAATTGTGTACTATTTAACTACTTTCTTTCTTTTTTTTTTTTTTTTTTTCTCTCTCTCTCTCTCTGGTAAAAAGGTTAACCTCTACTAGTGATGACCAAATCCAGTAAAAATTATAAAGTAGGAAATATTGTGTTATAGGATCCTTATATCTTTTCTCTCTTTTAATTATAATTCTACTCTGTTCTTTCGTTTTTCAGCATTTTTTCCTTGGGCATTAGTATTCTTTTTTTTCTTTTTCCTTTTGAGACAATCTCATTCTGTGGTCCAGGCTGGAGTGCAGTGGTATGATAATCAGCTCACTGCAACCGCCGCCTCCCAGGTTCAAGTGATTCTCCCACCTTAGCCTCCTGAGTAGCTGGGATTACAGGGGCAAACCACCACACACATACACACTTATTTTTGTATTTTTAGCAGAGACTGGGTTTCACCATGTTGGCTAGGCTGGACTTGAACTCTGGACCGCAGGCATTAAGTATTCTGACTCCAGTTTTCCCCCCTCCCTTCATGCTTTCTTGAGCAAATTTCCATACCTTTTTATTCTCTCTGATCTTCTTTCTCTGCACCATCTCCATTATTTTGCTTTTCCATTTGCTAGAACACTTCTCTGAAATAATTTCATGAAGAAATCTGCTTACAATGTTTTAAAATGTCATCCTGAATAACATATTAATTATACCATTATGACATACAATGAAATAAACACTGCACATTAATAAACTGGAGTTTTAGCATGCTTAACCATTGAAAATATTGTGATTACTGGGTTCCCTAAATTAATTAAAAATATAATTTTATTTTTTGAAATAATACAAAACATATGCATGCTTAAATTAAAATTATTTCTCTGGAATGTTCTGATTGACATTTAGGTACATTAATTTTCTGGGTTGAATTTTGGGGTTAGTTGGTTGTTCACAGGCTTGGTTGCTGTACTAAATTAGCTTGGCTTGCTATCGACCCAATGCTAAGCAGTTTACACATATTCAAACCTTACAAATCCTGTGAAGTAAGATTATCAGCCTTAGATTACAGAAGCAGAAACTGCATTGCAAAACACTTAATTATCTTTCCTTGTTTTCCCACTTAATAAGTGGCAGTACCATAGTAAGATTCAACCTGAGACTTCATGGATCCTGATTTTAAGCTTTTCATATGCTTAATTATCAGTTAACAGGCTCCTGGTGTCTTAATTTAAAGGCTAACAGTTTATCCTTAGGTTCTGACTTCCATTTGACACTATTTATACTCACCTGTCTGGCTGGCTCCAATACAATCTTCCAGTTTCTACTGACCTTTCTTGCTCTACTGGGTACACTGAACGTTCTCCAAACCAAACCCCCCTGCCTTTGCTGGATTGTCTACACTTATGCTCTCCCTTTGGCCTAAAACGGAGCTCACAGTAACAATCTATTTTGTAAAATTATGTTCAGATGAAAAAATTATACACTGATAGGTCTGGAGAAAGTAGTTTCAGCTGGCAATATGAGTGGTCTAACTTTGCCTTATACAAATTGCCTCAGCTGGCAATATGAGGGGGTCTAACTTTGCCTCATGTAATCAGTCCTTTGTTTTTAAGCTCTAAACTTCATACTTAATTCTGAACCTTCATAGGAACCCAGCACCTCCAAAACTTGCAACATTCCCAATTCCTAAGGAGAAAATCCATTTTTTTTCCTCCACAAGCTCTTCCTCCCACTTTTAAGTCATATTCCACTGATTTTCTTCTTTCTATTCTTTCATTCGGTTTCTTCTCTTCTTCTGTTTTCTTTACCCTTGTAGGTTTTTACCACCACCACAGTCCTCTTTGATTCTCTTTCAGTAGTAGTTTCTTCAAGGAGAAGAATAAATGTGGCTATTCAGTTTGTCATATTTTATTGGAATTCTAAAATCTTTTTTTTAAAAATGGAGATAATCAGCGTGGTATAAATCGTGGACTTTGGAGTCAGATTACCCTCCTTGTTCAAGTTGTGGCATCGAGATAAAATGATCATATTTGTACAGTATGCTGGAGTAAGTGACAGGCTTAGAGTGGGTTTTCCCCTAGCCCTCCACCTTGAGGTGTCAGTAAATTGTATCACAGAACATCCTAATACAAAAAATCTGGGCTTTGAAGTTCTGAGTAGCCATGAAGTTTGAATCCTGATGTTTTCACTTGCTAGCTGCGTGGCCTCGGGCAAGTCATCTATCTCTATACTAGCTCCATCTGTAAACGAGGGATTATGGTTCCCACTTGTTAGTACTCTTATAAAAATCACAGGAACTGACATTTGTTTAAAGTGCCCAGCACAATGTGAGCACGAGCTACGTGCCAATAACGAAATCTCCAGTTCTGGAGAGGACCAAGAGGTTAAGTGGCTTTGTAAATTTCTCTGGATTTAAGTGGTATCTGTGTCTTTGGCCATCAGACATTATTTGATTTGAGACCTTTGGAAGGAATAAAGTAGACTGCAGGTTTCAGGGAAAAGTCTAGTGCCTTGCCTCTCAGTGAAAAGGAAGGTGGTTATTTAAAGAAATATTCTCTGTTTTGCATTAGACTTAGCCCTGTTCTGTTTAGCCTTTTTCTCCACATTAGTCTTTTCCTACGTAATCATTTGTTTACAGCTTCTCAAGTTACGATCTTTCGCAAGGTCAGGGGCATGACACTATTTCTCACCTCAGATTTGGAAATACTTATCTTTACATTTAAAACCGCAAATACTGTCACACCAAGACAGAATGTGTTTGGCATAATATTAAGGCAAAAAAATGCATCTGAATCTCACTAAAGCACGAATAACAGCGGAACTTGAGGACTGTTAAACCCTAGGTAGTAATTTATACCACTTTTCTTTCTACGTTTTCCTAGTTTCTTTTCTACAGATTCATCTTTACTTAGCTCTTCCTTTTTATTTATTTATTTATTTATTTATTTTTTTTGTTTTGTTTGCCTTGGTTTTGTTTTCTCATTAGAAAAAAAAGCCACAGAAACTCCAAGCAAACAAATTAGAAGGGAGGAAATGCAACAAGTCCTATCAGTTCTCTGCCTCTAGATACCACTGAGTCCGGTCAGCAGGTGACTCCCATCCCAGTTACCTTCCCTGCGCTTCCCAGTTTGGCTGGCCCAACCTCCTTCCACTCCTCCTACCCTCTCAGTGGTCAGGAAATCCCGGAGCGGTCCTTGCCCTGGAGCCGCTTGTGTTTTTAGTAACCGGGAACTGAGCTGATTTTTTAAAATAAATAAATATCAGTCAAGGGCATTGCTGCAAGGCACCGGGTTGCTAGTTTCCTGCAGGCCAGAGGCAATGCCATCTCCACCAAGGATCGTCCAAAGATTAAACCAGCAGCGTACAATTTGCTAGATTGAAAATTGGCAGTTGGGGCCTTGGCCTCCTCCTAGAAGTACTTGCGCGTTGAAATCGGGAGGACTTTCTGCAGTTTGAGCGCGCTCTCTCCGGGAAGGCAGCGGGGTTGAAAGTGCGCGTAGGGGGTTGGATTTCGTGCAGCGGCGCAACTGGCTTTCTGCAAGGGCGCTGTGACACCCCTCCCCGGGACGCCACTTCAGCCTGTTGCTTCTTCGGCTGCTCCAGGTCGTTTTTTCCCGGCGACTCTAGTGTGGCTTCCAAACTTCTGGGCTCCTGGCTCACCTCGGAACTTGCTCCCGCCTCCCACTCGCTTCGCTGGGGCCCCGGGAAGTAGCAGAAGCCACAGTTGTCGCCTAACGAGCACTCTCGGGGACCGCGGGTGGCTGGCGGCGATGAAACCGTCTTGGCTGCAATGCCGTAAAGTCACCGGCGCCGGGGGTCTCGGAGGGCCTTTGCCCGGGTCTTCTGCGGCCCGGGGAGCCGGTGCGGCCCGCAGGGCTTTCGTGGCCCCGGGTCCGCGGGGCGGTCTCGGGGCCCGGGGCTGCAGGGCGCTGTCCTCGGGCAGTGGCAGCGAGTACAAGACCCACTTCGCCGCCTCAGTGACGGACCCCGAGAGGTTCTGGGGCAAAGCTGCCGAGCAGATCAGCTGGTACAAGCCGTGGACCAAAACGCTGGAGAACACACACTCGCCTTCCACCAGTTGGTGAGTGACTTCTGTGCCAACCCCAACCCCCCACCCTGGGTAACTTTTTGGGCGCCAGGACCTCCCTGGGACCTGGAATCTGGAATTCTATCACGAAAGAAAATTGAAATTGGAGTTATGTTCAGACCCTTCAATTCGTGTTTCATTTCAGTTTCATAGTCCGCTCTGTTGCCTTCTCTTGAGAGACCCTGTGACCTGTTGTGAACCCAGTGTCCCAGTAAAAGGGAGATTTACCTGACTGGCAAGGCTCTGCTTGGCACTGCGAATGTTAAGAGGACTAAAACAAGGTCCTGCCTCCAGGGACCGCACAGTCTAGTCAGGGAGACACCAGGTAAACAAAGCAAGTGGTACAATAAACTAGAATTATAACTAAGTATCCTCACATGAGGGTTGGAAGGATGGGTATGCCTTCTCAAAGTCGACAAGGCCCTAATTATCAAAGTTCGAGAGGAGTACAACAGCCTGAAATGTGACCGAGACAGTGACTGGAAATGATTGTGTTGGCTGGAGACGTGGGAGAGGAAGTCATGAGTCAGGGGCTAGCTTGGGAAGGGATTTATGTACTGTGCCAAGTAGCTTGGACCAAATCTATAGGCCTGTTGGGTATATGATGCTGCATTACGGGATACCCAGAAAGAACACAGATAGATATAGGCCAGGTGATGTTAGAAGTCCATGGTAGAAGTAAAGTCTTCTACCTGGAGCTGGAATTATAACAAGGTGTAACCATTATTTTTGTGTTACAATAAACACATTGTAGAATAAGTATCAAGCTTGCTAGGATAGTGATGCTGAAGCACAGTCAGTGGTAATCTCAGAGTGTGGCTCCTTACGTGCCTGTGCGCTAAGGATGTGATTGCTCTCATCTGAGAGCCATTAGAGCGAATGTTTCCTGTAAAAGTCTGAAAAATACTTCTCAGCAATGAGGTGAAGGGAATGACATGGTCGGGTTTGCAGTGGACGAATGACTCTCTGGTCAGAGCAAGGAACCTAGAATGAAATTGGCAAGAACCTGTTCTGTGTCTCCACCATGCCCAGTCCTCTCATTAGTGTGTGGGGTGACATGGTGTTGCTTTTAGAATCTGAGCACCTTGCTCCTTCATTTCAATTATTTTTTTGATAGTATTTGATTGGTCCTCTTTTATGTGCCAGACAGTGAAGAAGGCATTGGGTCTACAACAATGAGTAAAACCTACTCCCTGCTTTTTGGAAGTCATAAAGAAAAAGACATGGACTCTGGGGCCAGACTACCTGAGTTTGAGGTCTGCTTCTCACAGTTACTATGTGTTCACAAGCAAGTAACTTAATCTCTCTGTGCTTCACTTTCTGAAATGCAAATATGGAAATAATTAGAGGACTGAGTAAAGGATGAAGACTATGTCTTTATACACTAGACCCTATAAATGTTAGAGGAGCAATAGCTCTCTTTGCATTCTCATACCATAATCATTTGAGGAGCAGGAAACCCTCCTAGTGTTTCTCAGATGAAAACACTGAGATTACTGCATCACTGTTTCTCAAAGCTCTGTGTAGAAATATGTCATAAATACAGTACTGTTAATGATTTTATGTGGCCATCTCCATCATAAACTAATGTGCAGAGAATTCAGTTAAGAAGCCACAGGGATATTCTAAATGAAAAACAGTGAAGGCTGGACCTAAGGCAGAGACAATAAGAATGGAGAAGAAAGGACAGATTGGAGTGATTCGAGAGGGCAATCAGGCATCAGCAAAGACCCAGGAGAAAGCCTTGAAAGTGGGTGTCAATATGCTCAGCAAGTAGAGCTTAAGACCTGGAGATTTCCTTGCCAATAACTTGCTCTTTCTCTGTAATATCTAGTTGCTTGCTAACATTTTCTGAAATTGTGTGTATAAGATGTTGGCTTTAATGAGAATTTTTGTGAAAGGGTCACTATATTTTTATAGGTTACAAACATTTGATAATACTGTATCTGAATTTATCTTTTCAGTCTTGAACACATGCAGCCAAACCTGTCTTACAGTAGCCCAGAAAATCAAAGTGAATAAAGCTTTGACTCTATTTCAGCAGCGTGATTCAATTTTACCGAGAATTTTGGTCGGGTGAGCAGGGTTGGGAGGGAAGTAGAGGTAGAAGACCAATCTTAAACTTCTATTAGTCAGTAGTTTCGATTCGAATCCATGACTGCATTGGATACCACAGTGAAGATAGCTGACTGGTTAGCAATTTTCTACAAAGCCAAACTCAAGGACGGAGTGAATTTTATTTTGTTTGGCTTTATCCCCAAGATCGAAGGCAGAGCTGGCATATACGTTTTTAAAGTGAGAGTAAACTAATGGGATACAGTTTTGGTGATTTTTGTTCCTATAAAACAAAACACCTCTTTGGGAGGTGATAAGTGGGTATAGGCACAATTTGGTGTGAATGACCTTTACTTATTTTTTTGAAGCTGGGATCTGGAGAATGGAGATATTGATAGCCAAATGCTTAAGCAAAACAAGGCAAGATTGCTATAGTTAACTGTTCTCTCCTCTGTGGAGCTGGCATATGTGTAGTCACAGTCTCTGATGCCCTTTGGCTTCACAGAGGCTAGAGGGATTCTTCATTATAAGCTTGTCTGTTTGTTGTTCATAAAAGTAAACTCCCCTCAGAACCCACAGGCTTATCAAAAGCCTGAACACATGAATAGTATTGCATATTAGCTTTCACAATGGCATAAGCTACCCAATGTTTTCTGCACACAGTAATATAGATATGGAATAGAAATCTTTAAGGGTGATATATGGAGGGGAACTTTCATTATAGTGAATGACTCTATTAAATGCATTTTCAGTTCTGTAATATCTGAGATCTTCAAAAAACAAATCCAAATTATGGGTAGGTGTTTTAGGGATTCACATATAATTGCCTCTCCTCACAGTTTGGTGGTTCCTGTATATTGTTAACACCTGGCTCTTTGGGTAATAAAGTCTCTATTAGAGAGACTGCAGCAGAGAACTGCAATCGTAATTTCTTTAATCCTGGAACAACAAAGCAGGTGTTTCTGGTTATTTTCTCCTGATAGAAATCCTGCTGCCTATCTTGAAATTGAAATCCAGCTGCCACTCTGAAGGATTAGTCAATTCACTTTTCTATTATGCATTGTGGTTGACTCTCTGGGCCATCAATTTATCTCTTTCTGTGGAAGAATTACAATCCAATTTTAGTCTACTTTTATTTAAACAACATTCAATGATAGGCTTCTCATATGCATTTGTTTAGAAATCAATATGTATCAACAATGACTATAACCCCCAAAAAAGAAAAGACTAAATGTATTTTAGATTATTAGAAAATAAGCTTGAGTAACATATCTGTGGTGGAAATAGTGTGGGTTTCTCAAAATGCAGGATCTCAGTTCCTACTAGCTGAGATTAAGGTGGTTTAATCCTGCCAAGTCTTAAAATAGCTTATAAGAATTAAAGGACATTAATCATCCACTCACTGCATGTACAGTAGAGAAAATGAAGGAGATAGTGAAGGAACCCACCACATAGCAGCATGGAAGACATGCATTAAATTTTTACAAAAATGAAAATTTTGGATTTAGGGGTACATATATGGATTTATTACATGGACATATTGTATGATGTTAATTTTGGGCTTCTGTTGAATTCATCACCCAGATAGTGAACATGGTACCTGGAAAGTTTTTGACCCTGGCCACCTCCTTCCTTCCTCCATTTTGGAGTCCCCAGTGTTTATTGTTCCCATCTTTATATCTGTATGTCTCCAGTGTTTAGCTCCCACTTATAAGTGAGAACATGCATATTTGGTTTTCTACATGATGAACACTAGAGTTGCAGTAGATGCTAGAAAATACAACCTTTATTGGGAGATATAATATTGTCTTCTTTAGAAAGATCATGAGAGGAGTCTCGAGGAAATGATAAACTGAGATCAAAATGAGTAGGAATTAAACATGTGAAAAGTGGGGAGAAACATCCCAGGGAAAGAAAATAGCATAGGCAAAGGCCATGAGGTAGATCTGTTTAGTAAGTTCCAGAAGCTTAAAGAAGGTTGATTTGGTTGGGGCTTAAGAAATGGCAGAAAATTACCTTGAGATGGAAAGAGAAAACCATATTGTGATGGTCATTTGGTTAGGATTTTCAAATTTTTTCCTGGCCCATAATACCTGTCACATAATGCAAGACGAAAATATAAATTTTCTATTCTTCCTTCTGCATTGGGTCAATACAGGCTTGAGTTCAACCCTAGATCTGCTGCTTACCCTGGGAAAGCTTCAATAACTTCATTTGGAAAGTTAGAATCATGATGGTATCTATTTCTAAGGACTAAATTGGGTGAAGGGAAGCTTTTAAAGCATCTAGGACTGTCCGTGACACATACAAGTATATATGATTCTCTTTGGACTATGAAATAAATATTACCATGAACTAATGTGGTCCAATAAGTTTTGAGGGGAAACTGATAGCACTTTTTTTTTTTTTTTGAGACAGAGTTTCGCTCTTGTTCCCCAGGCTGGAGTGCAATGGTGCGATCTCGGCTCACCGCAACCTCCGCCTCCTGGGTTCAAACAATTCTCCTGCCTCAGCCTCCTGAGTAGCTGGAATTACAGGCATGCGCCACCATGCCTAGCTATTTTTTTGTATTTTTAGTAGATACGGGGTTTCACCATGTTGACCAGGATGGTCTCAATCTCTTTACCTCGTGATCCACCCGCCTCGGCCTCCCGAAGTGCTGGGATTACAGGCTTGAGCCACCACGCCAGGCCTGAAACTGATAGCCTTTAAAGTGAATCTTAAAGTAGGGTTTAGGAGGAAAGTCATTTCTGTGCAGGGAACAAGATGACGAAAACATAGAGGTAAGAAAAGCCAGGTGTCTTTAGAGGATAGTTACAGTAGACCAGTTGGCTTTCAGTGGCTTTTCTGAGTTGCTGGAACTTAGCTTCAGAAAATAGTTTCAGCCTGGTTTTAGAAGGCTTTGAGTAGCAAGCTAAGGCATTTGCAATTACTTCTTA